TAATGGTTGTTTAGCTCTCATCATGACTTTCCCACGATTTGTTTCATGAATGCTGTCACTTATATAACTTATCCTACAGAGTTTATAAGAGGTCTGGCTAAGATGGACCTCATTTAGATCATCTTAAAATCTATATAAAGCCATGTTTATAATTTGATTTGAAAAAGGTTTAACTTTTACGAAAATGACATATGTTTGTTTCTTTCTTTTTTGCATAATCAAAGTTATTTGAATTGATTTCTTCTTAACACCAACGTCTTGCTTTAGCTGAAGTTGCAGTGTAGTTTATTATTTTCTTTTAATCCATTCGCGTGAAGAGGTCTTGCTTATATCTAAAATCAGTGCATGACATAAACGTTAATTTACGTATCTAAATATTCTTAACAATATTTTAGTTGTATGAAATTTTATAAGATAACGTTATGTCTGATGATATTGTGAAACGTTTCGACATGAAATTCCTGTCTATTAGAAAAATCTGTTGGTTTTAATTTACATACAACATCAACTCATCCCAAAAAAGAATCCCTTTTTACCTTTGATAAAGATATTCCCCACCTTGTTGTGTTAACCATATTAAGGAAGCAATTTGGATCTTCTACAAAAAAGAAGTATAAAATAGTTAAAGGACGATTGCTCGATCATATATCGTTTCTGCAGAATATGTCCTTTTGGTCATCAGACTTATTTGAAGACATTTCATGGAAATCAAAGTTCTCTCAGTTTTACAGATACTTCGTATACTTTATGACCAAAGAGATAATGCGACATTTTTATGTGAAAATAAAGTTTATGTGAAAATAAAGTTTATGTGAAAATAAAGAAATAAACCGTGAGTTGTTTCTCTTAGTAACCTCAACTTCATCTTTTGGTGAGAGACCTGGCAAATAGAAATAAAACTTAAATGTGGGTGAAAGCATTTTTTCACAACTATTTATGCGGAATATATACGTTTAACCAGAAGTACTTGAATTTTTAAATATATGTGTTTCATCACAATATATTGTGACATAACTGACCACAATGAGGACATAATTAGATTAAAGATGAAATAAAGGAGATAAGTATTTTAAGAGGGACAGGCTGTTTTGGCTATGCGCATGCGTACAAACAGGAAGGAAAATAATTGATAAGTTTAACATTTATAGTATACTGCTGAAAATTGTACGAGCTATTTTGTTTCGTTAAAAGGATGTAAAAGTAGGTTACTAAAACTATTAACCTATTAAACTATTTATCTGATGTGGACATCGCAATTCGATACATAATGCGATCTTTTATTGTGTTTACTTTAATCATACTGGAAATTATTGCATATATAAATACATTGTCAGGTTGGTTGGATTTTTATTATCTTTTTTCCCACAAAAGGTCGAGAGTATTTGCATTTTGTTAGGAACACATATTTCAAAATGGGTCATTAAACAAAGGAAGAAAACAAAAAGATCACAGTTTACTTTATAGTACAGATTATGAAATGAAACGGAAAACAAAAAGATCACATTTTACTTAAATAATACAGATTATGAAATTCCAGAGATTAATACTTCAAATTATGTTTACGTCTTAGGAAAAATAAAGAAAATAAGATTTAAGTGATAAAATTCTTGGTATTGATTCTGTTAACATGCGTTAGATTGTCAGAGACGTTGCGGTGACAATTCACCTTGCATTAACGAGACTTGGTATGTAATATTGTGAGCTCTTTCTCAAATTAAAAAAAATGTTTAACAGCCTTATATATAACCAATAATTCTGAAACGAGACAGGCATTCAAAGATAAAAAATAATAAAGATAATCTTCATCTCGAAGCAATTGGTGATGATCTAAATATAAGTAAGAACAGCATTTACTGCCGAGTCTTAAATTCAGAAAATAATTTTAAATATCAAGAAGTATTTAACAACCCTAGTGAGTTTTCTGTTAGTTCAATTTGACCAAACCTCTAATGAATAGATGTTTAAACATTTTGGTAAATATTTTAAGTTCAGGTTTATAATGAACAAATGAGTATGGTAAAATTAAGCGTGGAAGTTACATGGTCTATAAAATGCAGTAAATACTCATTTTTGATAAAACCACATAACCCACACGCATGGTAATGCATATTAATCATAAAAAAACAGTATAATAGCATTATTGTTAAAGTTTAAGACTGATTTACAAACTTGACTCGCGAATACAGGCGTTATCAGTTGTTGAGATATTTTTATAAATCAGAAAGGAATTTCAAAAATAAAACTATGCATTATTTTTTTTTATAATAAGTAGTTTCCGATATTAGAATGAAAAATGTTTATGAGTTCTGCTTACGATATAATTTATCAGACACTTATTTTTCTGATGGTTATTAATGCTTTATCAGTTGTTGAAATATTGTTGAAATATTTGTAAATTCTGATAAAATTTTACCTTTATGATACTTTGCTTGACGAGTAATATCCGATTTTATGTTCGAACGTGTTAATCTATTTTTTAAAGCATGTACATGTATTTGATATCAGCTGATTCTTTTAGTAAGTTTTATCATAAAGTCGTCACAACATATTGGACGACTTTCTTGCTAGTTATATCATTATCAAACCAATTGAAGAGTAAAAATAGAAGTTTAAGAAAAAGGAAGAAAAATATATCATTTCATTCACTTTTCATATTCAGCACCAAACAGAATCAGTCTTAATACTATATTATCATAAAAAGGTACAAATTGAAATAGTTACATGAGATAACTTTATCTTTTTTGTGTAGGTTGAACTTTTGATTAATAACTAAAGAATTTTGTCCATTTGTACGTAATGTGCATTAGATATACCTGTTTGTCCAGGTCAAAATTGATACTTTGAAGAATACTTTGACAAATAACAGTTAAGCGTGTGAAGTCTTTCTACGAAATCCGTTCTTTCTCGTTTTCCTCTGCATTTTTCTTTGTAATGTCACTCCTTTAAAGATCCAAGAAAATGGTGCTTCAAACTTATTGAACTTTTTGAAACAGTCTAAAATTACTTACATCGTGGTTTCTGTTTATATTCCTTATACATTTATTGTTATGTGATACAGAATAAATCGGGCACTTGCGGTTATAGTTCGACATTTTTGTAACATTACAGAAAGAGGATATAGTTATGCAATAGGATGGGTCTAAAAAGTTTTCCTTGTCTATTATTCATTACATCACGATTTACTGCGGGAAATCAATTATGTTTCTTAAGAGGATGAAGTTTTAGAATTTTACCGCAGAAAAAGCAATGGGTATTTTTTGTTTATAATGGATTTTCTGATTATGATTAACAGTAGCAATTGATAAAAATATATAAGCAGTCAAAAAATGTCTAAGTTAGCAAAGTTTGGCTTCAAATGTGGCAAGTGATTTATATCGGTTTATAAAGTTCAAAATTACATGATGTATCAGAACATATTTGTTTTCCCATATATAAACAGAATTAAAATAAATGACTTATAGAAGATATATTATTTTTATCTAAATGCAGATAATAGAAATAGAACAAAAAAACAACAACAGTAACTTCTAACTATGATCAAAGTGCCAAAACAATATCAATTGACAAGTGAATATCAATTATAGAAAATAAAACATTGAGAAAGGTTGTGCCGAACATTACGAATTTATAAATAGATGTTTTCATAATACGTGTATGTACTTTGAACTAATTATGTGAATAACTAGGAAATGGTGATATTGGTCAAAGTCCAGATACTAACTTAACCAAACGTTATTTTGATACCATTATATTTCATGTAAACTTTTTGTGATGAGTTAAGTTGAAAAATGAAACACAAAAACATTCATTGATCTTGAGAGGCTATCTATCCGAAGACAAACAGATGAAGTCGATAAACTTTCATTTATTTGTCTATTTCGGAGAACAATTTACAAAACACTCTTATTTGCTATAATTGCTATATTTTATAATATCCGTTATTTTCTGTATACCTTTGACAATCTTTTGCTGTCACTTGCTCAACCTACTTTAATCGTATTATTCAATCATATATTAAAATATAATAGTTGGCTGGATTTACGTAACGTTATCATGTTATACAACTGAACTTAATGCCCCTCACTAACTAAACAAACAATACTATAAACACTTGACATAGTTTTGAAATCGGTTTGTATCATATTTAAGTACTTGACCCAGCGTTTACTTTATGAATGAATGAAACTTATACGTTAATTTATAAAAAGAAAATTTGATTTATCGCCCATTTTTCTCAATTTTGTGGTACATCAATAGTGTCAATTTCTAATTTGAACTACTCTTCTTTTTGGTTTCGTCTTGTATTATGAGTATGTCAGCAAACAGGAAACCAGAACTGTACGCTGATACACCATTCATGAAAAATATTATTTCATTGTATGTTTAAAATCATGTTCAGTGCAAAGTTGGCATAGGGGATGACATTAACAACAATATTAAATTTGCCATATGAATGACAGTTGATTCAAATTTATCAAAAATTGAATGTTTTTGTTTTGTTAAGAATTAGATACAACTTCATTAAAAAGCTTCCTAGGCTCTATTTATGCAACATTTATGGTTTCGTTTATTTAGAAATTTGAAATAAATGATTGAATCCTTCTCACCGCTAGAACATGATGTTTGTGATCTTTATCGTTATATTGCCTAATCTTTATCGTTATATTGTTTATGACCTTATTGTATAACGGATCCAACAAAATTCCGATTTAGGGCTTATGCTACTAAATGTTTTGCTATTGCACATGTACAGGTGGTGCGTATCTAACTATAATGACGAATATCTTATAGCATCACTTTGTTTGGCATTGAAATGTTTATTAGAGGTTCATTTTTATTTACAAAGTAGGAAATATTGCTCAACAAATGCCTTATGTATTATTAACAGTTTCTCTGCAAATGTTTATATACTGGTAAATGTTTTCTTTTTTATATAAATGTTTATGAAGCTTCTTTATTGTTTATATAAATGTTTATGTTATGTTAATATGTATTTTCAGCGGATAATGAATTGCTTGATAAACGACTGCTGTACTATGAACCGTTACATTATGATATAGACGACCTTCACCTTAGACATTCTCAAGTCGGCAAATCGGGAGACTTACTTCGTGTTAACTTTTATGCTTTCAATAGGTGAGTTGAAGAATGTTACTATGTTTTCTTTCACGAATATTGTTAATGTAAGCCATTAGACTGCATCTTATCGCCATACTTTTTGCAAAACTTATTATTAGGCGTATTTTGTGTCTAACATATCATTTACAAAGTTATGGCAAGTGTTCGGCGACACAGACGGGTACAAAATCTGTTTATTTTTAAAACATTAATGATATCATTTTCAGAAATTTCTCCCTTGAATTGAGAAGGAAGGGTCAATCAAATTCCAACATCATTCTTCATCATAAAAAGGAAATCACCACACCAGATCTTTCATTTGTTTACACGGGAAAAGATACAGGTAACGTCTCTTTTTATAACAAATATTAAAATACAAGTCCTGCTATAAATAGATGGACACAGATATGCATCTATTAGATGGAAAAATAAGAGAAAAGGCCACAGCAAGCATTGTACACATAACTAATTACATGCAATTGAAAATTGTAGTCCATCCTCGACAAACAATTGAAAGTGTAACATATCTCACCTCCCCAGCACCGGCTTAGGCAGCATACCGTTGCAATGGGTATTGAAATCAATGGTCAAGTGTGACCAGAAAATATACAAAATGTAATGGCAACAAGATTAAGTACGGGACAATTCCGATATATAATATTTTTCAAATTTATATGAATTGTTATTGAAATGAATGTCACTTAAAAGTTATAATAACAAAAATCATTTTGTTTGAGGGCAAGTTTATGCTCATCGCACTAGATCTTTAATATCCGTACACATGAAAAGATTTAGGCATGTCCCAATGTACCGACAGAAAGATATAAAAAAGTGCATCTAACGTTTATATCAAAGATACACACGCGTTGGTTCATTTCATTTAATATATCTTAGTATTTAAGAAATATACAGCCAGACAGTTTTTCTGGAGTCTATGAAGTGCATATCTGACTTTGCAACTTACCTTGTATGCAAATACTCACTTATATCCTAACCGCCTTTATTTTACCAAGGTACAGAAACGTCAAGCAGAAAAATAAACAATGGATGCATTTTCTACATATTAGAATGTATAATGTCCAATGTATTAAAATGATATATTTTCTATGGGTGAAATTTGGAATATATTTTCCCGAAATATGATAACATTTTGTACATTTTTACGAGCAGATTTAAACAAATATAAAATTTGAGAATTCATTGCACATTTATAGATAATGCGCAATTGAGATATTTCAAAAATATTCCACAAATATTATAAAAACATAAAATAAGTTTATTGTTTATCTTCGTTTGATGTTGAAAGATAAATTTCATTGCTGTAAATTGTTTTTAATTTGTTTGTATTTGATACGATCCTGCTGCCAACTGTTTGTACCTATTAATGGATTTCAACCTTGAAATAATATAAACAAATTATAAATGTTTCATGTCAAATTGTCAACAGTTTCTTAACTGATATAATTGTTTTTTGTTGTTGTATTTTTAAAAAAAAACAACTGTGGGTTATGAATATAAGTGTAAGTTTTCATGGGCTTATCAGGCAGGTAATGATGTTTATTTATTCACTTATCATATTTTACGGATTTTATCGGGAACTACGTCACACAAAATTTATTTGTTTATTAAAAACAAGTTTGTTTAGGAACAGTGGAAGCTTGATTCAAACACGTGAAAGATGAAAAGAAGAAAGAAAAAAAGAGTGAAATAATATTGAAATACTCTAATCAGTTAAACAAATGGATGTTTTCTTTTATGTTGTTATTTTTAAGTGTATGTACGAGATCAATATATTTGATAAGTTCAAGCAATTTATGCTTTCATTTCTATGATATTTTAGCAATTAAAATAATTGAATTGTTTCTACTTGAATGTCGTATTCTAAAGATTGTTATGTCTAAATGCCCATTATGCCTCACAAACTCTATCATTCTTATTTCTCAAGATCTTTTTTATTTTTTTATATCTTGTTAAAGTTTCAAAAAATACTCATTTGGCACAATGATGAATTATCTTTTATTTCATTTGTTCTGTTGGCATTGGGAATAATCGAGTTGAATGAGTACTTTGTATGGAAGTCAAAAAACTACTTTGTTTTCATTTTGCTACCTTTACATGACCAATTACTGCACATTCAGCACATTCTCCAGTTATTAATATCTAATATAATCTTTACCCATTATTAAACATATTTTGACAATTAAAAACATATGAATTTCTGAGGCAAAATGTTAATTATATATAGATAAATATATGTTGCCAAATAAGTCTTAGCTGCGGCTGTGTCGTTCCTCGTGATTAATGTAGCGTCTGTCTGAATATATACAAAATTTATACTACCCTTAAGGCAAAGGTGAACAATATTTAATATATTTTATCTATGTATGAACATTTTACAGAAATAACAACAAAAACATTGATTCAAGCACCTTTAAGTGTTGAAAATTGAGTACCGTTCAATCAGGTGTTAGGGGGTGTGAGGAATGTTGCACTTTTTCATTATCCCTACAGACCAAAACTAAGTCTGCAATTTTCATGTAATTTTCACGACTTTAATGCTTCCGAGGGATCACCCTTTCTCCAGATATCTAATCCCCAACTTATTCAATTCAATTGACTTAGTACGAGAAGGTTTGCTTTCAAACGGCCAATGATTGTCCTCTCGTTCTTTCCTATAATGATGTTTGTGGTATTTCTCGATACAGAGACACTGAGAAATCACTATATGACCTTTACACATTGTCGTGACTTTACATAATGATACAAAATAATGTGGACACTTCTCCATTAAATATGTGTATGTGTTAAATTGTTATGTAAGTGAATAAGCTTATTTTAAGCAATATTTGTTGAAAATTACATATGCATTACGTTATAAAATCACACTAGTTTTCAAGACATTTATCAATGTATCGCATAATTACTGTCAAAATTGTCGTAGTTGAGAACTACTTTATCAAGCTATTGTGGTACTATCTTGACAATCTTCAAAATTGTTAACAATCTACTAGGTTGTAAGTTATCTATGACAAGGTCTTAAATATTTATGTTAAAAATGGTTGCAAGGATAGAAATATTTTAATAGATTATCTAAATTTTCTTGTTTTAGTTATAGTTTACGTCCTACAATCGTCTAACAATAAACAGTGTGCAACACACGTTATAATTTCAGATGAAGAACGCAAAAATAAAACAAACGGGAAAAAGAACAATAAATATAAAAAAAGAAAAGAAAGAAAGAGTTGAATATGTTGCCGTTAATATATATCATATGTTTGTTTATTTTTTTGTTTTGGTTTAGTTAGATTCTACTATGTTCGTGCAAAACTAAAGCAATGAACTATATCATTTATAAGATTATAGCTCTTTTATGTTTGTGTATCAAGTAGTCTTATTTTTCTATTTATAGATCATTCCGGAAGTGAAGCAAGTTTGGCTGTGATCAATGGAACATTGCAGGGAAAAATAATTCTTCCTGGTGAAACAATTTATCATGTAGTTCCAAGTTCGTGGTTGTTTAAATCAGTGCCATACTTTCATACTGTGATATATTCAGAAAAAGATTATATATGGTGAGTGTTAATTCCCATATGGGTCCGTTTTAGTTTTTATAATTGTTTCACACATAAATTGTCCCTGTCATCTTTTCGCCACCCTTATGTTCACTCCCGGTTTTGGTTTGGTGCCTTCTGGGTGTCCTGCTGTGGTAGCTTGGGCTACGTCCTGTGAACGTTGCCTTTGCATTGTTGAATTTTATTCTCGTCTTTTATAGCTTTGAACAAACAATAAAATAAAGTTAATAGCAAGATATATTTAAACTTCATGAACAATTCATGGAGATTTCGGTTAATATTTTAATTGATTTGTTGTAATTTTAAATGAATGATATTGTCTACCGTACACCAATTTATTCGAAATATACTCATCGCGCGCACAAAACAGGTGAACAACAAATTTAACGAAACGGACAGTTCATCTTACTCAACATTGTTATTGAGATTACTCGAACTGAATAATTAAAAGTCTATCTTAAATTCGCAGAGATGGAGACTTTAAAGTTGTCTCCATGTATGCAGGCCAAATTCTATTCCACCATGAAAAAGTTTTGCAATACTGACTCCGTTACTTTTTCAGGAATCATACTTACCATTCGGATACATCAATTCCTTTTGGAGGTTCAAGTCAGAGTCAGGTATGTCCAGTTTTAATGAAAATAATTTTTTCGTGTAATACAAAATATATGTTTTAAGTTTCTTACATAAAAACTTATTTTGTATTGAATGCTTTGCTTGATACTGATTAAATACTAGTAGTTAGTAGTTATTTGTTTGATAAAAAAGATACTTTGTTTTATGTGACTTAAGTTTTTCCTAGCTATACTATGAGAAGACTACTCATGTGTTTTTCAAATGATAAAGATTGCAGGACTGGTTTTGTCATTCATTCTTTATGACTTTCGAAAATTTTATCAAATGATAAAGATTGCACGATTTGGTTTTACAGGACATGTATAAAAAGCCAAGAGGCCGGCGGAAAAGAGATTTAATTCCACCATCACAAGGACAAGACCATCATGTATGTACAGTCAAGCTGACAACTGACAAAACTGTCTGGAAATATTTCATGAGTTTAGATCAGGTATGAATGTTTTGACCATAAAATTTTACATTTAAATGATAAAAGTTTTCTAATTCACACGAAAATTATAGATGCCGGTAGTTGATTTTGATACACGAGGACCAAGAATTTTGAACGTATATCTATTCATTTAGTGGTTGAGATTGAATTATTAAGCATGTGCAAAAGAAAAGTAAATTATGGTTCAAAATAACTGAACTCTTAATTTACTTAATAATGCAAATAAAGGCGAAAGGCGAAATATTCATTTACAAAAAATACAATTTGTATATATTCTATTCAACATGATTATGATTTGTTTCTAATATTCAATCATCTAATTTCACATTGTTTTCCTATCTTGTTTTATGCAGAGCGAGGACCGCAGTCGTTACGACATATTGTACATGTTGGAAAATCACGTGACGGAAGCAAATAAAATCTTCAAAAATACAGAATTTACCTTAAATCAAGGTAAAAAGACGGAAGAAAATTTGAAAGGAATACAATTCGAGATAAGGAAAATAAAGGTACATGCACATCCTTTGTTAAAATGATAAGTCATGGAAACTATGCTATGTGTTTTCTTTTTTTTCCTTTTTAGTGTGTTTTTTTTATCATGCTTTAATTTTTTGAACCGCACTCTCTTAAAGTGACATTATGCTTATTCAAGGGTATACATGGTGTGAACAGGTGAAAGTTAAAATAAGTTTTTGTATAGCCATAATTCCTTTTAATTTAATAATTTACTTCATATAAACAATGAATAACCATCGCATTGATACAGAATTTCTGTAAATATCAATTAGAACTTACCTGAAACATTGAGTTTATAAAGAAGTGGGGCAGTCTTTTTATATTTTAGGTAGATTTTAAATTTTATCCTTAACATTTTCCAAAATAAACTGTTGGTCAAACACCATTTTAACAGTCAATCTTTTGAAATAAAAAGTCAATTCAGCTCAACTTGACTATGAAAATATGAGCATAATGTCACTTTAATGTGTTTTACTGGTGTTATACAAGGGATATATCCTGTGTGCTACATTATTATGCAAATATCTTGACAATGACATCTACAAACCATATTTTGTTCATACTTTAAACTTGACAGCTATCATTTACCAAATAGATTATGACAGATATCGATTGTGAAGACGAGGGTAAATCGGTGCTATGCAATGAAGATCTTGACGGTCAATCACTACTTTACCAATTTTCTGACGAAGAACACGACATTTTCTATTATGACAATGTTCCTGAAGCTGATAATATTGGTGGAGGTAAGATGATATAATATTGTAGACATAGTTAACAATAATCACATTTTTCACAAAGTTTCTTTACCGTAGTTTATTTACCGTATATATACATATCTACTTACGCATTATTCATGCGGATTTTCAAACTATTCTATATTCTATAAACTATATGCATGTATGCATGTCATTCGTAACCCAACCCAATTCTTTGAAGTATTGTATGATTCAACAAGGGATACGTACCAGCCATGTTTAAACGTTTAGTTGTCCCTGCTTCGTTGTTCAATAAAAGTGATTTGTATTTGCACAGAAACAAAAAAAGCCTTAACTTTAGTCTAACAGGCATTCCAAGGTTTGGCATAAATTGACACAGCTGATTGTCCCATGAGGGCAGAGAATTTACCAAAAGTTTTGCCGGTCTTGAAAGACAATGTCTCTGCTTTTCTGCGGAGTAAGGGATGAGGAGACTGGGTTGCAAATGACTGATGCAGTAATAAATGTAATGACTTTCAAATCCCATATTATGTTTCTTACTTATTTCACTTTCATATTTCACACAGATGACTATACATACAGCTATGCTTATCCTGAAGAAGAAATCGAATATTGTTTGTCATTTCTCATCACTGCAAGAGTTTTGTATGTCAACAAAGAAAGTCCACTTCTCGGCTTGGCTTTCTCGGCGCTCGATGGTAAATATTTCGTTGCCTTTAATATAGATCTGTATGTTTTGACCAATATACAATATTCCATCATTTCAAAGAACACAACCACATGCCGGATCTGTTTATAACAAAGGTTTATGATTCGTAAATGATAATGTTTATCAGGTATATCACTTTTCTACGCTTAATACGCTTTCTTTATTCCACACCTTTTATTTTTTAGTTTGATAATATTTTATAGCATATTTGAATTTACATCAATTCCTTTACATCAACATAATTACACTCACTACAAAAGGGTTGACCAAAGGTTTTTGAAACATTCTCGTGGGCCTTTCCTTGTACTTTTGAGTATTCATTTGTCAATGCCTGAACTGGATCAATGTGTACGTTCTTTTTTTACAGATGGAGGGATTTGTTCGAGTCAAAACAATGGATTCATCACATTATTTCAAGAAAGAACACAAGCTTTGCCGGCACTTGTTACACAGTTAGTGTTTACACATGAGGTTGCGCATGGATTCGGCGCATTAGTATGTATATGAGTTGATTTCTATTCTATTCAAACTGTAAAACTGTAAACTAATTTGATTTCATATTATATGTCATACAGTTGTACAGCTTCATTGTCACTCTTTACAAAATGGCAGATGTACATCCCCTCAACAGAAAATGCCTTAAAGATAGATACTAAATATTATTCACAAGCAAATATAGATTGCTTAATGCTAATATTATATAAGTCGCTAGGCGAGTGTTATTAAGCAAACAAAAATAACCCGTTCATCACGGTCATATAACATTTCAAACGTATAACGGTCATACAACATTTCAAAAGTATTAAACGTATTTACGAGTATACTACTAAATTATTACATTTTTATAAAAACAAGTAATTTAAAGGTCTTTCAGTAGCATGTATAAACAAACGTCATGATTACCCACTAAAAACCGACCTTGCAAACGTGCAGCATTATACTTTCTGTGCTGAAAAAATGGATAACTTTTGCAAAATTCTAATTTTAATAAATAAATTTTAGCACGACGATATGAAGCAATGTTCGGAATACAACTTAAAAGAAGAGCCAGCAGACGGATATTATCTGATGCATAAAATTGCTCAACGTGGAGACAAACCCAATCATTATAAACTATCACAATGTAGTCTCAAGTACATCTCCGAAACACTTTCCCGTAAAAAATCTCGCATATGCTTTACAGGTTCGTTCTATCTGAAATACAATAAGTATAGTAAATAGACCTTTTGAAAAACTTATTTTAGTTTAAAGCGCTCCTTTTGTGATACCCATCCTTTTTAAGACATTTTCTCTTTTTTGAGAAATACATGCGCTATGCCAACAAAATACATTTTGACTATTAGTATCAGGCAAAACGTTTGAAGTGAAAGTTTATAAAAATAAAATTCTGCAAAATTCTAATTGGGCGTCATAAATATTCAGTTACCGAATTACAAAATTGATATTTAGCCAAACATTCCAAATAGTAAAGATTTACCAAATTAATATCAAATGATATATTTCAACATGTAGTGAGTGACAACTGATATATTTAGTCGTATTTTAAACGGGAAATAACAAGATTAATGTTCAGCCATATAGTACAATAGCTAGATAGTCACCAAACTATTATGTAGCTAATGAATTGTAATCGATAGAGAGTTTGTAACTGTAATGACCAATATATTTCAACAGATAGTGAGTTACCATATTGTGGTAATGGTATAGTTGATGACGGGGAGGAGTGTGACTGCGGTAACGATTGTGAAACTGATTTAGATAATTGTTGTCATTCCAACAATGCAACTGGCGGTTTGAGATGTACACTGAAAGATGGGGCGAAATGCAGGTATAACATTTAGTTACTTTTTTGTGTGTAATCCAAAACAAAATTCCAACATACAGTATACTTTTTTAAGTGGTGGCATCACCTGGCATTGTACAAGGTGCAACAAAGATGACCTATCAAAAATTTTGTTTGGATCCTTATTCATTTTAGATAAAACTTTTTGTTTTTAAACACATTTTATGTTACAGATTATCAATTACAGCATAATATGTAGCGTACATAGAATTCAACTTAAGCCGGTGACAGGGGCGTTGGAAGCTTGCTGTCTTCCTTTATAAACGATTTCTACATCGCAAATAGTCCATGCTGAGTGGTTTTACCATAAATCTTCTATAAAGAGATACTTTTATTCATCATTCAATATTTGCATGCTTTTTCTTTTTATTTTAGCCCAAGCCAAGGACCATGTTGTGACAGCAATTTTTGTCAATTTATAAATCGTACACAGAATTTCGTATGCCAGAACCCCAAACCATGTGTTGACGAATTATTCTGCCAATATCCTTTCAATTATAAAATATATTTGCAAGTCATCAGAGAACAAAAGAACAGGATTTGTACATAGTACGAAATACATTATTTAAATACATTATACAACTTTTATTTTGCATGAATAATCATAAAATTTTAATGACAATAGTCTTAAAGTAGGTACAGTAATCACAATTTTAGTTACAATGGTCATGATATGTCTTTTTTTAAATGGCGAGCTTGCATTTTTTTCGTTATACCTAAAGAACCATCACAGTCAAATCTAATATGCAATGCATTTGTTTTTCTTTTACATGCTACTGATATATTTCTCAAGAAAAGTATTAAAAAACATAGTTTGGAAAGCTAAATTACTAGTTTTTAAGAGGCTTCGAGATTAGTTAGACCCTTAACTAGTTGTCACTGGGGAAATATATGGAGCACAATGTCCGCCACCAAACAAACATCAACAAAGAGAGGATGGCTTCATCTGTAGTGGTAATGGACGTGTTTGTGATGCAGGCGTAAGACATATATCATATATCCTAAGCGAAATTTGTCTTATTTTTTTAAGTTATAAGGACACATGCTATATATTTCTTTTAGATATATTACGTAATTGTTTTTGTAAGACAATATTTCGGTAAAGATTCACATTTGTCAATCTTAAGATTAGAGACACACTGTCACAAATTTCATTCATTTATTGATTTTTTGTTAGACACACGATCTATATTTTATGAATTAATGTATTTTGTGCAATACTATTACATTAAATCAGTATTGCATCGAAGAAAAAGGCAATTACCTTTGTCGCATGACTGTTTTAGAATGTTAAGCGTTTATTAACACAGATTATTCGTAACAGTTATTAATTTTCTATCTTCTAGAGCTGCAATGCATCTATATGTAAATTGATACAATGGAGGGAATGTCAGATGTCCAACAACAATGATAAATTAACAATACAAGAGAAAGAAGATCTATGTTATATTGGATGTCGTAAGTGTATTTTCTACCTGTATTTGTCTTTTTTGTTGTCGTTTTATTTGTGGTAGTAGGTGAACGAAAAAGATATTACATGTACTATTTCATTTCATAAATAACTAATTTCATTTACTTTTAATTGACTTATATGATAAATTTTCCTTTCTTTTTTAATAATGATCATAGGCCTTCTATTTTGCTTGCCTCTGATACTGAGCTAAGTCAAATAACCTTTTCTAAATTACAAAACAGTTTTTTTTGTATTTGACCAGTGTAACTTATGACTTTTGTATGACGATTATTCAGAATTTCATATGACTCTTATACATTTGAACACAATATTTCAATACGGATTATACCATACCACTATATTCATTTATTGACATTTATTACACATGATACATTTCAGGAAAAAAGAAATCGTACGAATGCATCAGTTCACATGATAGATCAAAAGTTAAACAGCACATAGAGTTTATGAATTTATTGTCTAACATTTCTACTGATAATACAATACTTCCTGTACAACTCCCACCTGGTGAGTTTACTGACTTACTTAATATCTCGTCAGGTTCTTCATTAATGCTGTTATCAAAAGAGTCATTTTAAACAACCACCTTTATAAATAATGTACGATAAATTACCAAAAAACGTACTTTTCATACAAGGCATTAAGGAATAACTTATTTCGTTATACTATAATAATAGTAACGAAAAGGCGATGTCTGCATTTTTATACATTTATTATTTCCACATCGTTTTCAATGTTTAGATACAGTCATTGATTTACATTTGCACTGTCAAATACATTCTACATGTACGGTGCCTATCTCATGATAACAAAATAACCTTATACTATAAATACAAATCGCACTTTTAATGACTATTTTATTAAATCTCAAAACAAATACATAATGCTACGTGCACTCTCCTTAGACAATATTTTAGCTTTTACCTAATGCTTCATAAAATACTCTCTTGTACATCTGTCTTCAGGGACACCTTGTAACAAAAACAGGGGGTACTGTGATGTTTTCAACAGATGTCGGGGTGCAAACCCTGACACGCCATTGGCGAGATTAAGACAATGTTTCGCAAGCGGTGAATGTGGTGAACATATTTTATATATTTTACGGGTAAGTTTAGGAATTTCAAATATTGAAATAATATATTTAACAATAATAACAACAGATCTAGCCTTCCATGGCAACATTAATGGAATACCCAACTTTAAAATTCTCAGTTAAATATCAATAAAGTTTATTTAATTTATGAAATACTAAATATGTGTATTTAGTATCTTTCTATAATGCGTTTTATCATGTTTGAAACTTTTAATTTTAGGATATCTAACAATGTTTATTTTGATTCTAATTGTCTTTATTATCAAACTAATCTGCTTGATGTTTTGTATATTCGGTACATCTGGAAGATCAAATGCGACATTATTTGATATTATAAAACTCTCCCAAAGTCTTGCTCATGTTTATGTTTTTATTGTTCTAATGAAATTTAGAACACATAACTGTGAATGTTGTCAGAAAGCGGACTTAAATTTTTAGTCTAAAATACTTTTAGAGAAGATTTTAAAACTATATACTGATTTTCCCGTGTCTAAATTTAAAACCAAATGAATAAGATATAACATTAACTTATAAATGTAAAATTATTTTCAGGTATACTGGTGGGCTGTTATACTCTGCTCTATCGCTGGCTTAGTTTTATTTTGGTTATTTGTCAAATGCTGCGCTGTACATACTAAAAGCAGTAATCCGGAAGTAGAATTACGTCACCCTCACAGATCTGTTCGCCAATCAGTTACAAGTGTCAGAGATTCTGTTGTTCATCCTCAGAAAACATTTCGTGCTTCAGTTAGGAGTGTCCGTGGATCTTTAAGGAGTTTTAGTGGCACGATGAGAAATGCTCGAGATTCATTTAGACGTATGAACAGTCGACCAGTGACTAGCGATTTTGATTTAAAGAAAATTGAAGAGGAATTAGAAGTTCTTAATAAAAATCCGTCCACAAATGTTGAAGATGTGTTTCTGTAAGATAAACAAAGTTTGTTTATTTAAGGATGGATGACATAACAAGTGTTTCCTCACAGGGTAATTTATGAAATGCTTTTAAAAAGATGTATTGAGTTCAAATCACGTGATAATATAACATGTATAATTAACTTATACTAACAAATATATAAATATCATGTTGTTTCATTTTTTAAAACAGCAGTATTACTTGACAATACAATACATCTTTCTTTATTTGGTAGTGGTTGTGTAAAAATATCCTTAATTTATAGACTTAAAACTGAATACGTAATGTAGAACTAGTTATGAACATTCTTTTGTCAAGCATGGGCTTACATTGAGGAATACAGTATTAACTTGGACAGCAATTTAGAAGGAGTTTTCTTGTTCCAGTGAGTGTTCAAAGAAAACCGTTATGTTACTGTTATATTACACAACATACAATGTTTCAATTACAATGTATATGTATGTATGTGTTCTAGGCTTATCGAGAGTCCATCCTCCTTTTCAGGCACTGAGAGTTAGGAAACCCTGACGTTTCACCATTAATTTCCTTTAATGTATCTACCAAAAAGTGACCTATAAATATTGAATTCAGTAATTCACTGAATGATACTAAATAATTATGTATACACATTGATTTTTGTCAATTATATGCTACATCTAGTTGCAGATATGATAGTCATTCCGATGAATGTTGATTGAAGACAATATGTTTAGGTTTAGAATATTTTAGATTAGTTGTAACAAGTTATCTCGACATTTTATTTAATATTTTGGATGTGCAATGTCCATTTTTGTCATTTTGAATTTAGGTGTTGTACTTTTTTATTTTAATACTTTCATTACAGATTTCACAACATAATGGTTTGCTTCAATTATCCAAACTAGGAAATCCAAGATGAAATTCATCATCATCATCGTCATCATCATCATTATCATCATTATCATCATCTTCATCATCATCATCTTCATCATCAACACCATTTTCATCATTGTTTTGTTAGTCAATTGAAAAAAAATGAAATCAAAATGGGTCAATTGTTCGGAAGAGTCTTTCAAAACATAGTCATATATTTGTAAATATCATTATCCGTACTACTGTCCACAAAGGTCTGTATATACTTACTTTATGGTTGACAACGATTTATAAGATTTTTCTGAACGCTTTAAATTGATATTTATGCTAATCATTCATTATAAATTGTCCATGTAGAAAAAATATTTTTATTTAAGATAAACAAAATTCATTTTTTTACAAACATGGTACACCTCTTACAATGAAACTTGTGTTTTTCCAATAAGAATAACTCTGACTCTCATAACAAAGTACCAATAGATTTTACAAAAATTTTGTGATACTAGAATAACATGGTTTTTCAATTTATAAATGTGGTGAATCAGGTAAGTCTGCACTTCTATGCAGTCCTGTCTTTCCAGACGCTATAATGTTGGTAGCTCATTTTCTGTTGAAATCCCTTAATGGACTCTTCAAAGTGAAACTTAAATAATGTTTCATTAGTACAATGGTAATATTATCAATAATGAATTTTAAAATAAGTGTATGTGAACATTATTATTTTAGACGTTGATGTATTCATTTTCGTTATGTTTTTCCCCAATTGTTTTTCCCCATTTAAGTCAATGCTTACACATATTTTATTTTTTAAGGATCTTTATCATTTAACATTTAAACATAAAGCTTTATATTTTTGTAAATAACATAATATCATGTAATAATATTTTCATTAAACATTGTTAATAGTCTTAACTTAATTCATTGACTTCACAATATGTAATAATTTGATGTTTCATTTTAAATTATTACTATGGACTTTTGTCCATTGTGCCAGATAACAAAATATTTACCGTTTTTTACAAATGTTTTTGTATATTTTTTTCAAAATAAATATTTTTAACAAAAATACTAATATTATATAGTTTATTAGTTTTCATTTTATATGAAAAAAGAGGAAATTTTATTTCAAAATCGACACCGCTCTGATGAGTATGGATAATGCACATTAATCCTTTCATCTGTAGATCTTGTTTGATTTACAACTATATCATTCTCCGTAATTTAATACATATGGATTGTTCTAATAAATACAATTTCGACCTTTGAAGGTACAGATTCTATTTTGAGATATGTATTTTCATCAAATTGCGACATTTCATTAAAAGCTGCATGCCTCACGATGAGCCAGATGTTTTTTTCTAGAAAATTAAATTTGAGAAAAAATATAGAAGTAAAAAATAAATTCAGATTCAAGTAATACTTCATGTTATGTGCGATTAAGAACTGATTTTGCAGTATTTATTACAATATTTCTTCTGTGTGTCTATCGCAGTAAGGCTGTTTTAACTTATTTTGAGCTCTTTTTGGTAATTTACATGGACAAAAAATGTTATTTGCTATGCATTTTTTTTCACTTAAGATATTTTACTTTGAAATGAACTATTGAAAAAAAAAAGCATGCTGCTTTAAGCTCATATCGTATTCACACGGATATTTATAATTTAAATGTTGCACTAACATATTTGACAAGCACACGCTGCGCTTGAAAACTACACAAAACAAGCATTATCCTTATCAGAGGTAAGACAAAGTTGTTGTAACATAACATGAGCCGCGTCATGACAAAACCAACGTGATGCGTTTGCGACCAGCATGGATCTAGACCAGCCTGCGCATCCGCGAAGTTAGATCAGGATACATGCTGTTCGCTATCAGTTTCTCTACTTGTAATAGAGTTGGAAAGCGAACACAATGGATCCTGATCAGACTGCGCGGATGCACAGGCTGGTCTGGATCCATGCTGGTCGCAAACCCATTACGTTGGTTTTGTCGTGACGCGGCTCATATCTTAAATACCTCTAAAATATTTTAATGTGAAATGTTGCTAAAGTTATAATGTATTTTGGAAGATAACAATATATCACGTTCGCCAGAAACGCTGCAGTCTAGACCGAAATAGCTTCTCCGACTTGCAAATGGGTATATGCATGAGGTGATGGTTGATTCAAATCGTGATGTCAAGTTTATTCTAATAGTGCAGCATGCCCTTGTAAAATAAGTTCATGGCTTCCTGTTTAAAGCAGTTTGTCCTCTTTTACACTGTTGTATTACCTCACACAAACATGTATATCCATCACTCGAAGCCGACTTTCTTTAAGTGATTCTTGATCTCTTGCTATGTTTAAGCATTTTAAAGCACCCTTAAAAGATGCCGTCATCTATGATCTATTTTGACTTTTTTTTTGCGTACACAAAAAACAAAACCTTTGATATCAGTGGAACCAAGGAAAAATGTTGTTTTTTGTGTAAAAAGCAAGATTTCAGGAGTCAAATGCAGCTGCATGTTGTCGGGAGCTGCACTTTGTGAACGTCCATTTGCCTTGTTGATCTTGGTATTCTTAGTTTACAAAGCTGCTGGCGAGACAATCAAGCAATTTCCTAAAATGTTTGTTATTGTTTCATTTCGGATGATACAAAATTGGCCGAAACTATTAAAGCTATTGGCTTATATAAACTCAAACATTTTAAAGTATAAATTGGAGTTAGGAGCAAATGAATATAGTAAGTACTACATAGTATAATGTTTCTCCCTTGAGGAATAGAAGCTTGCGAATTAGGTTGCACATTTTATCTATACATTTAAAGTTCTGATTTCTGATTTTCGTATTTATTTGTCTCTTTCTGTGAACAAAATAATAATAATGCAATGAATCAAAATAACTCGCGCGATTAAATACATGTATTAACATCTAATTGGAAGCTTTCTAACAGTAACTGATCGTGGGAAAATATAAATTACCACAGCTTCTTTTCCTTTGTCCATTGATACTATTAGTCATAAAGTGTATTTGGTTATTTAAGTGCCGTTTTCCATCATATCTTATCAAATATGCTTCTTCACCTTTTAAAATAGTTTTACTTTCACCACTGTAATAAAATAAACAATGGCTTTAATCTTGTATATTAATTACATTTACATGTTTGCCCAATGCTTAACTGCAAAATGCCGTTTCCTTATAAACGGTGTTTATACCTTATATCAATTTTTAAGTAATTTTTTGACATTCGAGCTAGTTCTGGTTTCATACACGATGAAACAAATAAACAAAAAGTTGACAAAAAGGAAACAAATTGAAAATTGACCGTATCTTTCATTTCATTTGGCTCTGATTATGATAGGGGAGTTGGAAAGGAAGTTAAAAGGTATTATATTTCCATACATTAATTCCCCGTGTGTTAGCTCCCTTGCTATGTGATGATTCAAGTAAAATAACTAAATCATCATATTCCTACATTGAATAATAAACTACAATATTTGTATTATTTTATCAATTTCCATCCTTGTCCGAACGGATAAAATCTTGACTTCAAACGACTTTCCCCTCGCCGCTGCAAATTCGAATCACACCAGGGACTTTGGATTCGTCCCTGTATGGATGCTACCCATTTAGCTTTTTAACGTCGGTGGTTCTACTTGTGCACGCTTGTGCCGGAAATAATGCACGGAGGGTCAACTGAGCAAACAAAGTTGCATTTTGATTTTCAAAGCAACAACAAGTAAATTATCCTACTTTTATGTCAAAAGCGTTGACGGTTACTTGATGAACACCCGACTTATTCCAAAACTTTAAATATGGTCATAATTTTGATAATATTTACCAATATTTTTTGTCAGAAAGGCAAGACCAGCTCATCAGATCAATAAAAATGTACAAACAAATTATAATTTTGAGTTAGAGATATACAGATAAACTGTTTACAGGATTACAAACTTTATTTAACCTTCAAAACGTTTTAACCTAAATTAATTAATATTTTAACTGTTCCTTTAACAACAAACAACTTTTACATTTATGGACGCTGGAGGGTTAGTAGGGTACCGATAGTCAAACAAGTTAGAGGATAGTTCTTTTCCCTTCATTCTTTTCTGAGTCGTCTTTTTTTCATTCATTGCTCTATCCATTTGTATATGTTTCTTTTCTTGTTTGAATCTATATTGGTTGTATGCAAGGATAAATACAATAAATTTAATTAAAATGAAAACTTAGAATAGCAGTATAAAAGTGACAAAATCTTTTTTATGTTTGTATTTCTAGGTGAATATAAATAATATTCACATTGTTTATGTAAATGTATGAATCTGCGGTGTAATGTTATTGTTTGATGACATGTTTTTTAGATCAAACTATCATGTGTGTTACAGTAGCTTAATATATAGATACCTCTTTTATGTCGAATGATTATTGAAAAGGATATTTCATTGTAACAAGACTGTGACTCACTTAAGTTGTTTTTTTTAGCATTTTTATTTCATGACACTCTGACAGATATTTCATTTATACCTACTTTTCACTTTAGGAAAGGCGACAAAACCACCATTATTTTAAGTCTTATGTCAATCCGGGTGTTTTGTTTTGTTTTATCTAAAACGTTTTCACTTTTCTTTTCTTCACAAAACTGACACTTGAATAATGTTTCTCCAAATCAAGGCCGGAATAGAATATCGCTTTATGTAAGACATTTGTATGTTAATCAATTTGTCCATTGTGCCAGATAACAAAATTTATTTTTCACGAAAATTGTTTAAAATGCAGTTCTGCAAAATGTCAGTTGTCAAATGCTATCAAATCCCTCATTTATTATGATATATAAAATAAAAAGCTACTCTACTGTATCAAAGTGGTTAACCAATTAATAAGAAGATTCTAATCACTAAAAAATATCAAGACCTAGCATATAATTTGTTTATTAATGTAATCGCAAATGTACCGCAATTGCGACCAAACAAGAAGATTAAATTTGATCAAATCAAGCAGTGCTCATCAGACACAGAAGGAGTTAAGTGAGCTTAAGAAAAGGGATAGGTACGATTCACTGTGATCTATGAAAACTTTCTTAACATTTCTAAAGTTTCCTTTTTCATAATTGCAATTACAAATCTTTACTTAAGAAACGCTGGCTAGATAGAATGGCTGAATTTTGTTCTTGACTATTTATTGAAAGGGGATGTTTTACATTATGCAAGAAATATCATTATTGACTTGACAAAAGAGGGGCAAATATTTAAAGCTTAAATTTTTCCTTGTTGTGCTGTATTTATCACGATGATTCAAAACAGGTCAAATTTAGAAAAAAATAACATTCTTTGACGAAGTGTGTCATCGTTGTCATCTGTTAAAACCTCTGTCACACTAGGGCGGCGTTCTCACGCTCCTGTTGCGTTGTAGGAGATGCTACAGAGTAGCTACGACGTCCTTATCAGCATGCTCAAACTGCGCGCCGTCGGTCGGCGTTCTATGCGATGCCACTACGACGATGTGGCGATGCTGCGGCGATGTTTGCGATCTTACTGCGCTCACCTCGGTGTTCTGAATTGGCTTTGGACGCCGTGAGAACGCCGCCCTAGTGTGACAGGGGTTTTAAATTTAACAACGCCAGCAAACACAATGGAAGCGCAGTCTAGTGTGACAGGGCTTTAAATCAATGTCACCATTTAGTCTTGGAATCAGAAGCCGTTCCGTTAAGTCATTGAGTGTTGAAGAGTTGTTGGCTTCGTATCAGTTGGTCCTTAACTTGATCAGTGTAAAATCCACCAGGGACTTTGTATTCTTTAATAATAAAAAGTTATTTATCTATGATAAGCTTACGGTCAGCTGGAGACTATTCGGATGCCCTTTTGCGCTCTAATAATATTTCTTATCTCTCATGAGGTCTGAAAATGATATTTTAAAGTTCTATTTACTACTGCTTAAATTAAAGCCAAATATGTTACCACAAAGAGACTTATTGTACAAATATTTGTATATCAAATCCGCATCATCTTTTGTACCGACTTAATCTACTTAGAAAATTTGCATTGCAATGAACATTTACAGGTAAATGCAAAAACTTTTTCAAATTTCTAGAATTGAAAGGGAAATGACGTTTAATTTTTTATAGACACTTCATGTAACGTATCTGACTGTTATCTTTAATATTTACTAAGAGACTCAACAATTCAATCTTCAGTATAGGTATTAATCATGCTAAACCGCAAACCATACAACGATGAAGAAGATGCAGGTTTTAAGTACAGATGAAACTATACAGTTCTTTAAGTACAGATGAAGTTATACAGTTCTTTAAGTACAGATTAAACTATATTGTTCTTTAAGTACAGATGAAACTATACAGTTCTTTAAGTACAGATGAAACTATACAGTTCTTTAAGTACAGATGAAACTATTCAGTAATGCATTTCAGCTCTTAGTTAATTTTCTTTTCTTACTACCCAACATTTCTATGACCATCAACATTCAAAATACACATTTCTTTTCATAATATTCAAAACATTTAGTGTAATTATACATTTTTAATGTAATTGTCAAAGCGTTGAAAAGTTTTTCAAAATGTATTTTGTCATCTTAAGCAATTTTCAACCATTCGACGTGATTTTGTTATTCATTGAAATGGCACAGTTAGTTTATATTTCCTGTGTCTTTATTCAGGTTCTGCTACATGTAGAACTTTAATAGACATCTTTAGCATATGAATTCATCTTATTGTAGGAAAATTTTACCAGGGGATAAAGACGCCAGTTAATGCTATCTTTTAATAAAGTATGCAAAATATACTATAATATAAACTATAATAAACATCCCATATATCAAAGTTTTCTCTCGTAAGAAATCTTCATTTAAAAAGTTTATAAGCTTATGAAGTGTAAATGAGCTTGTACTCACAATAAAACCGCAGTAAACTAAACGTTATAAATGTCATTATCTCAACAGCCGGGTAACAACGCATAAACCACCCAAGCGAGCGTTAAAAGGGAACGGGGTATCTCTAATTGCACCTGTGCGACACAAGTAAAACAGCAAACAACGCTTAGACAAGATAATTGTTAATGGGGCACTATTTGATTTTTTTTCGTTGATAAAACGCGCTTTAAATACATCATAGGAATATTGATGGTTGATAGCCGACTAAATCAATAGCTTGTTAAAAGTGTATGTTGCATTAGAATAAAATTGTAAAATATGCACTGTAAAATTTTTGTATTATTCGGTGATAAAGCGCACTAAATAGATAAAGGAATATAGATGGATAAAACACTTTGTCAACTAAATTAATACTTTGAATTGAGAAAGTTGTATGCATTATATGGTGCAATATGGACAATTATTTTAGATTTTTCATCTGGACAGTTTTACAGATGGCATGCGGTCTCTCAGTGTCAGGTATATATTGAAACATTTCAATTTGTTCAACTTTGTGACCTATAATATTGGGTATAGTATCTTAAGTTGTGTCCTAGTTTAAAGGCTATGCTAAAAAGGTAAACATTACACATCAAGGTAAATCCGAGATTATTGTGTGGATAAGAATGAATGCATTTGTTGAAAATACTACAAGTTAAACGTGCTAGCCTTGAAATAACATGTTTTAATTCAATAGTGTTTACATTTTAAGTTTTAATGGTAAATGATGACTCCGTTCAATGTACTTGGTCATGAAAGAACATACATGTACAGTCTCAAGTGTTTTAAACTGTTTTTCCTTAAGCTATATGTTTAGTTCAATCAGTTATAAATCACCCTTCTGTCTGCACTTTGAACTGTTTCTTTACAAGGAAATGTTCAACTGTATTTCATATTAAAATAATGGCGATATTATTAAACTAATTGATCGTGTAGGCTGGATGTAATTTAACATCACATGTATTATTATAATCATTTATACATTCTATAAGTAAGAAGATTTCTTGCAATATTACTGCTGATGTTATGGGTATAGATTTCTCGAAACATTGCTGCTCAATTTAAAGATTTAGATCTGTTGATTATTACTGCTCATATTGTCCAGATTTGTTTCTTTAAATGTTTATTTTTTATTTATGTAATGGATTTGTATAAGCATTACTGCATTACTGTTGTGGGTATAGAATTCTCTAAACATCAATGCTCATTTTAAAGCTAAAAATGTGTTGAATGTTACCGCTCATGTTCTGGGTATATATTTCTCTAATCATTCCTGCTAATATATTTTGAATATATCTGCTAATGTTTTGGTATAGATTTCTTCTCTAAACATTGCAATTGCTGTTCGTGTTATGGATATATATCTCTCTAAACATTAAATTTGAATGCTCAATTTTAAGCTTAAAATATGTTGAAAACATAATTGTTTATGTCGTGGGTATAGATTTCTCTACAAAATGCTGCTTGATATAAACCAAAAATCTGTTGTCATTTAGGATTCGTCTCACAATTAGCATGACATATTTAGGAATATTATAAAAATATGTGTATTTAGTAAATGTATTTAGTTACTGCACAATATTTAAATGTTATCATTGAGACGAAAACTGAGACGAAAGTTGATGCCACAACAGCATTTTCACTTGGAAACCATTGTGTTTTAAAATAATCGCCAATTAAAACTATTAGAAGTGAAGAATATATTTATAAATTCTTAAAGACATCAGATTTATATCATTATGATGATATTCTGTCGTGTTTTATATTCATTCTTAAGAGAAAAAGAGCACTGCTTTGATTAGATACCTTTAAAAAAAGCGCGTATGTTTAATATCGCAACGTGTCGTATGGGAACGGGACCACTAGAAGACTAAAAATATTCTTTTACGACTTCCCTGCTCATACACGTAAACTTAACAAAATAACAGTGTCATAAATATATCATGAATAGTAAATGTAAAAGGAAAGAAGTAATGCATGTAATGTCAATCCAATAACCAGTTATTCGCTAATGCTAATAAAGTCTATTGAAATAATAAAAAATTCAGTTCCGATAGGATACAATATATAACCATTCTTATTTTGAGGATAAAAGTATTATTCATTATATTTTCGACATTGCTTTGCCTGTATCCACAGTGTCTATTTTTTTAGCTCCCTCGCTAATGAGAGATCAGAGACTCGTGCACAGAAAAATGTAAATAAAAACATAATCATTCTAACAAGTCTGAGCAAACAAATGTACACTATAACCCTCTAAATTCGTATATAATATACAGATTTTATTTTCCGTCTCATTTAATAAAATGCCCAGAGAGATCATGTGTACACGGACATTTTATGAGTTAACCTTAGATCAATTGCATAAGCCTACCATATCTAAATACTGATCATATTAAATACCGGCAGTGATTTCATATTTTATGAATTGGCAGAAATCAAACACCTTTATACCATATCCAATTGTTAAATACCCGCAGTGATTTGATATCATTAATTATTACATATTAGAAATCGAATTTTGTTTTTACAAGAAAACTATACACTTTAGAGAAAAATCTCGAGAGTGACTTTTTTTGTTTACAAAAATGAATTATTTATCATTCAACCTCGGTTTGTTAATCCATACCAGGTAAAAGTTCATTTCTCATTTTGGATGGGCCAGATTGTAGTAATCTTAAGTTAAATAGAGTGTATGACTCAATGTAGGAGATGTACAAATATTCACTTCAATAAAGGTTTTATTGGACAGGTAGACTAAACAATGTTTATGATCCAAGTGTCATTGATAGGTTTTCACATAAGTGTTCAGACTTGCACAGAAGTGAATGAAACGATGTTTTATTTTGTATTCCAGTTATGTTAATTTGATTTCACGAAAAAAAGCAACATTTTAATAACATTTACATGAAACAAACTATAAGTGATAAACCACTGATACTGCAATGTATTTCTTTCTAACATTTATTCTATGTCCTTCTGCATTGTGGGAAAAAATCAATTACCATGTCTATGAAAAATATTTGTATTTCAATAACAAATAAAACATTCTAAAGAAAAACAAAATTCAAATACTAATTTGAAAAAAAAAGTCAAATAGAATGTTAAAAATGAAAAAAAAGTATCGATATCTAGAAAATATGTGAAATATTAGCCTAAACTGAATTTATTCTTGAGCATTTCAGCATAAGTTTTGAGATATGAAGATACGTATATTGCATCACATTTTAAAATTATTTCAGTGAAGTATTAGTATTTTGATAACATGACTGTATTCCTTTCCCTATTGATCACGTGATCCAACTTATTATAAGTATTTACATGGATAAAAAATCTTGAACAATTTCTAGTCATGTGCCTTCCAGTGACAAATTATTCCATTGTACAGGTTTACATTAGCCGTCAGAAATCACATATGTCTGAGCAACAACAACAAATTGATGCTCATTCCGAATGATCAAAAAGTAAAAAAAAAGGTTTCAAAGGTGAAAAAATGGACCCTTGGTATTTATTCACCAGACAGGTGTGCACACGTTGGAAAGAACAAAATGATTTATGTCGTGAGACAAGCAATCTTGTTGCCTTATTTTTATACTGATAAAGATTTTATGTTCTACACTTTTTCTGCATAGTAAGTTTATCACGTTTGTCTTTTTTCATCCAGGTTGTCTATCTTTTTTTAGGTGAAGATATTTACTCTTTATGCTACCTCACAGCTATTCCATGATTAAGTTGTATTCAGAAACGTAATTTTGATAGCTACGTGATGATTTAGTTATTTATAGTTTTATTTTATAAAGAGATGTTTCTATGGTAAAGCGGAATGTGTTCTTTCTCTGGCTAAGTGTTAGCAATGTACACTAAAACTAGACTGCAAATTATTTAAACATTTTTAATGTACGTATGTAAACCAGATATCCGTAAAAATGACGTCTATTTCTATCACGAAAACTATTTATTTAAAGGAACATTATGCCTCGGAAATGAATAAATGTTTACTTTTTTAGAAAGGTCATACATGAGTTTTATTACTTTTGAATTATGGTTTTAGTCAAAAAATAAAACAACCATTTCTCGGTTATCCCATGTAGTGCCCCTGAAAGAAGAGGGGCTTAAATTGACCAACTCATTATCTTACTATATGTAGCAACTCGATAACATTACGTATCTATTATTTAATAAACATTATATGATGTGTGGTCCACTGATGTTGTTGCAATCTGATTTATTATATGAATTATATGAATTATAAATTGACATTCTATGTAAACCGTGATTATATTTGCACATTCTATGTAAATAAGATATAATTATAGATTTTCAGATATGACTAAAAGTCATGTTCAAATATGTTTTGGTACACGAAACTATGCTATATGTAGTTTCGTCCTTCCAAACAAGTTGTATGGCGAATACAGTTTCATTAAATACCTTTGTATTCGTTTTTATTAACATGACTACTCGAAATGTAAGAAGATTTCAATTAAATCTTGTTTGTGACTTCTTAGTGCACATCAATGTCAACTTTTTTGTTACCTTTTTCGGGGGAAAATTATGATGATAGATAAAAGGCTTGTTTACTTCATGTAGCAGACGTATCGTTAAAATAACACATCAGTGGAACACCATAATTATGTTAAAATTCAAGTACAAAGTATAATCAAAGGAACAGCAAAAAGTGTATATTGTCAAGTTTCAAGTTCATGCACATTTAGAAGTAGAAAAATAGAGAGATTGCTCGGGAATAACGAATAAGAATCAATTCCTTTAGAAATCTTTAGATACTCTAAATAGCACGAAAATGTTATATTGGAGAGTGCAAATCTTCTGATGACTTAACCATTTTCATGTACATATGTTGAATATGGCTTTGGCCGTTGCTTGAGGCTTGGTCGGAAGCCTTTTACAATAAACACTTCCAGTCATAAACAGGCCCAAACAACATTTTTCAATTTTGTGGTTTTGAACGTTCTTTTGGGGTGTTTGATTACGTGTGTTGATAAGATATGATAAGATAATTGACCCCTGTAAAAACTGTTTTGAGCAAAATTTTATGTCTCAGCACATTCAACACTCTCGAAATTCAAGGAAAACAATAAATGTTTCTAAATTACAATTATTCAGTCGTGCGTTTTGGTATGAAATAAAAAGGCATTGTACTGTAGAAAAGTGGTTAACCATAGAATTGTGGGATTATAACCACTTCAAAGAATGTCAGATTTTTTTTTTCTTTATTTTACGATAGCATACCAGTATTTGTCAAACTCCTCACAGTGATTACCTCCCTTGGCAGAATTGTAATCACTGCCTTCAAAGACGTCACATGATGATGAAAGTCACATGACGTAACGTCGAAATTCAAATGTAAATATCGACCGTTACAAAGAAAATCTAACGTTATTTTTCTCTTTCTGTTTTATTTTTAACTTTTAGTGCCTACGTTCGATATAGTTTATCAAAAAATTATCGAAAGTATACAA